TAAAAGAAGATTAGGAATATCCTTTCAGAAAAGAATCTGAACTTCACAAAAAAAGAAAAAGAAAAAACATTCCCCATGAGAAAGACTTAAGAGTACGAGAAAAAGAAAAGCCAGACATGAAAAAGCAGCAGGAAAGAGTTGAAGAAATATTAAGTTTGCTTCTTCAGATGCTGCTAACCAGTAACAAGTACAGTCTCGAAAGTCTTCAAACACATTCCTGTATTTCCACATATCAAGGGTTTGCCTCAGCTGCTGGCCTGACTTTCACCCTCATGTCTTTTTTTCCTGATGAAGCAGAGTGGTATATGCGTCTGAGCCTCATTTTAGCTCGTTGCCAGAGCCTTGATCGTTTCATCCTCAATGTCATTTCTCTGTCTGCTCATTTCTCAACCGTACAAAAACACATATTTTTACCAGCTGCGTTATTTCTACTATACATTTTCCTGTTGAATTCAGACTGAATAAATACCTACATCTACATGAAGTCATTGCTTTTCTGTTTACGTTTGGTTTGAGATTCCTTCTAAATACAATCTACTTTCATTGACTTATTGGTTGTGCCTAGGGAGGCTTAAGGCTAAATAAGATTTTCTAATATTGAATTTCCTCTAAAATCAAAATCAACAGATCTGGTTAAGTATATGCAGGGAACTAATCCAACAAGGAGTGGCAGTTGTTGCTTTTCATCCCAACAAATTATTAGTTATTTTAGTTAATTATTAGTCATTAGTATACAACTGCAAATGCCTCAGGTAAATTTGCATATGTATGAATGTAAATTTTTAAGTTAGGAAAAATGCATTTCCATGAGTGCTCCGAGGCTTCTGTATGTCTGTCTGTCTGTATGTATGTGTGTGTGTGTGTGTGTGTGTGTCAGTGTGTGTGTGTATGTTTTCACTTTGTGTGCTGAATGCTGAGTGATGCTGTGCAAGTTTTTTTTTTTTTCTTATGCTGCCTTGTAACATCTCCATCTATATTTAGATCAAACACACTCTTGATCTGAGTGTTCAGCTATTTTTCAGTCCGATAACAAACCATCAGAACCAACACAGCACCGTCCTCTTTACCCAGCCGGAGATAAAGAAATCTTTCCCTTATGAGATTTCTCAAGAGCGCTACCATATCATGCTACTGCTGCATCTCATTGTCCTTGCAATCATTTATTACCTTCCAAAAGGATTTATGGGAGGTGGAATGGCAGTAAAATCTCTGTCTGTGATTTTTCTGGTCATGCATCATATGTAGAAAGGTAGAGCTGCTCATATAACTTTATGCCACCAAGAAATCAAAAAAATCCTCTTGTTAGTGCAGCTTTCCCCGAACAGATAGCTTGCGAAAGGATGTGACCGCATGGAAAAATCATGCCTCAACCGACAACTCAAACACACAGGAAACACATTCATTCGGCATCAAAATAATTCTGTACACAAGTGTGGTGGTGTAGTGGCTGACATTTTTAAATTCCACACCTCATCTGTCTTCAGAGTACACCCAAATAAGTTCAGCAGTCTCAAATATGGTCACTTACATAAAAAAAAAAAAAAACTGGGGCGTACAGCCAGCAGGGATATTTGGCTGCCACTTGAAGTATTTCTCCATTAGCTCCCATTCACATTCTGACTAATTATATACATAAGTCTGGGCTGAGAATCTCACGGCGCATTCTGGCACGCTATAAAAAACACCCATTTGAGCCAACAAAATACCACTTCTGCCTCGAATTAATCAAGCGTCCTTGTAAATATGGATGTTTAGCCACATTAGATGCCACTCTATTGTCTGGCTTCTGGCACACCAGGCAAAAATATTCATGGAGTGCTGCCAGTGTTATCATTCTTCCTGTTCCTCTCAAACCTTATCACCTGTGTGTATCAGCCTTCTTATAGATAAAAGGGAGGGCCACTCCATCTCCAGAGGCAGGCCTTATCTCACCTTAGGGCCAATCATCCCCCTGAGACATCACAGTGACAGATCTATTGCCCAATCAGGACACCCCCACTGCACTAATAACACCGCCGCCACATCTAGTGGTAATCAAATACCTGCTACCAATGGACCATGGAAATGATTTGTGTGTGTATGTGGCAGTCTGAGCAGATATGGATGTGTGTGTGTGTGTGAGTGTGTGTGTGTGTGTGTGTGTGTATGTGATCAATAGCCAGTCTCTGGTGTGGGAGTGGAAAAGGCATTCGATATCAGACGAGAGTTCAGGGGTCATTGCTTCCTGTGTCTTCACTGCTATATATCCATCTGGCGTTTTTTTTTTTTTTTGAACACATCGGCTGGTGTTTCCCCTTTAATTATTGTCATTTGTAACACATTTCAGAGCAGCACCTTGCCACCAATATGATTGTTTTTCCCACATGTTGAATGCACTATAACAGCTTTGTGCGTTTGTGGCTTCAAAAGGCAGCAGTTTATTCTAAATGGCCATGTTGAATTTCACATGGATGTTTTGATTTATCAGTTGCTATGTGAAGAAGTAATCACGTACTAGAGCTGAAATTCATTTTGACAAATCTCACGCTCTGCTCTCTTGCAAACAACCCTCTCATGGTCCTTCGCTTGGAGATTTAGGATGATAAGACAAGCATATTTTGGCTATTAAATCTCCCTTAGTGCAATTTTATTCCAAACTCTGTGCTTGTAGATCCCTGCAGCTCATAATGACCCAGATCTAGCAGGGACTAAATCTCACTGAAGGCACAAATATTGTAAATAGTCAATTACAAAAACAAAACCTGAGACAAAACATACTAATTTATGCTTTTCCAGGATCAAAATGAAACAATATCTTCATCAAACAGAACAGATAAGTGGAGCTGGTTCACACCAAACTGTGGTGGTGACTGTGGTAGCTCTACAAAGGGTTTTACTGCAATTTTAAACAACTAAAGATCCCACGGATCCAATGATCCAATGTAACTACTGATTCAATTATGACTGAAACAAACCATATTTTATCATTGTTAAACAAAATCAAAACTAACAATAATCAAATGACTGCAATGGGATTAAAACTCACAAGTTTCTGCCAAAGAACGAAGGAAAAGAAAATGAATCAAAATGAGGTGTCACAACAACAATAATGATTGATGAATCTGAGGAAAATGTGATTTTGGGTATAACTGTGATTGAAAATAAATCATGGTGACAACAATAACAATCATGACTAGTTAAATAACATCACTTAATGCTGCCGATGATGTCACAAGTGAACGTCACGGTGGTATATCATTGCCAAACATGATGATGTCATTGTGACCTCAGCCTGTTTTGTTATATGATTAGTCAAAAGTGACATCAATGTTCAAGAAAAGGCAAATAAATAAACACACACACACACTCTATGGCAAAATAAGCTTCTCAGTATAAAAGGCACTGTGTCCACTGCAAGTTGTTTGCATGTGCATATTCAAATCTGCACAAACGCACACACACACTGTATAAATGCACACTTGTGCCATTATGTAGAACAGCATGGTGGGTGTATGCCAGGAGGTGTCTTGCTGCTGACAGCCAGGGAAAGGCTCACCTGATGCCCAGCCACCTGCCATCTGTCTGCTGAATAATACCATTTGCCTGCTATACTACGGGGACAAACATGAATACACCTGTCAAATATAAAACACACACAGCAAAATGCATAAATTCACAGGTTCCAGCTACACACAGCTGGTAGAAATATGTGCCTCTGGGTGGGCGATACTATCTTATTTCCACTGCTCGGGCCAAAGGCTACACAGAGGATTCAATACAACTGGCAACATGCACGGAAGCAGGTAGGAAGAATTGAAGTAGACACAATATTTGCCTCTCTATGTGCAAACAGACAGGAAATACTGTTCACTAATTAGAGAGTAGGTAATTCAGCATGAGCAGCACTTTTTTTTTTTTTTTTTTTTGCCAACAGACAACACTGACTTTTGCTACATTCAGGATCCCGGGACCAACTGGTTACTAGTCTGAAGAGCAATTCTGCTCATCTGCAGATCTGCAAATGATTTGATGTATTTCGTTATTCACCACTGTTTTTTAACTTATTATTATTATTATCATCATCATCATCCGGTCCCTTTCACAGCCTTATACACAAGCTGAAGCTCTACAGTAAAATATATTTCCCCTGCATTTTAACCTCACGTGATGCCAGGAAGCTGCTGTATGATGAAGTTTAAGAGGTTCAAAACAGACACTTATGCCAAAGAAACCCTACCTGTCTCAATTCATTCTCATCGTGCTTCCTTCGGGAGCACTGGATGAGGTTCCTCTCTGTATTGTATTCAATTCAAGGCCAAGGCTGCACATGCACAGCAGCGTTTTCTGAACATGATGATAGGAGAAGCAATCAGAGGAGGATGATGAGAGACGCTGCACTGAATATATTTCAAGGTTACCCTATTGCGCTCATCAAGGCATCATAATCAGCATGGGATTTCAGTCTCTGAGTGACCTGAAAGGCATCAACTGCGCGGTGCATGTCTGGGGGGCTGGTTGGGGAGGAATAGCCAGCCTCTGAGGTTGGGGGGCGGGGAGATGGGCCAGATTTTTTTTTTTTTTTTTTGCTGGACTGACGGCACATTTTGCTCGGCAACGGAGGCGGCACATTTACACAAATGTTCGTTTTCTGTTCCTAGTGAGGGGTGCGCAGCCCTGTGGCGGATATTCTCCCCAAAAATCACATTTGCTAGAGCGCAAATAAGCGCTGGAGGGCGGTCACTGTTGCTGCTAGAGACAGGTGTCTGTCTAAATACCGATATCGATTCTTTACAATCATTAAGACACTATTCTCCACACATTCTCACTCAATCCGCCATGAAATCTGTCCCATTCACAAATCACGTTTTACGCTCCTTGGATAGGCTACGTTTTATCAAATGAGAAACCAGCGTTGTGACTTGATTAAGATCCGAACTTGCTTCTGCAACAGACAATAGCTACACACTCCCGTTTCTTCTATTTCTCCCCCAACGGCATCTGCGAGCATCACGCACACTTACCGCGATGGGATGAAGCAGTATTCCGGAGGAAAGGCGAATCCATTGAAGAAAAATGAGGAGATAAGGGCGAAAGGAAGCCGTGAGCACTCCCACTACTACTTGTACTACTACTCCATCGGTTCAGTGAAGCCACCGCTCTCGGTTTGTGATGGGGATCACGCAGCGTGTGAGCGCATGAGGATGGATGCTGTGCCTTGTCGGGGGGCGGGGACAAGACGCGTACTCGGGTCCAGTGGAGCGTACTTAATTCTGTGTAGGGACCTTGTGTTACAAGCAAGTCGGCTGTCTAGTCCGCATATTCCCAGCCAGCCTGCCCTATAGACCTCCAGGTCCTGCTTGAACAGCCCTTTATTTTACCTTTCCTTATACCAGGGAGGCAGCGTGAGGTGTTTTCAGTGCTGCTTCATATTCATGGAGCTAGTCACGTGCAAGGAGAAGACAGGGTGAATGGTTTGCTGAGCTGTAGTTGTTGTGGTATATGCTAATGTTTATTTGGCATAGGATTCTTAATAGTAGGCTACCATTGATTAAGAATAAATTATATGAGATGTATAAAAATTAAAGGTGTTTTAAAATTTATCTGCAAGAAATTTATTTCCTCATGTTTTCCATGATAACTTCCATCAGTTAGACAATTATGGACCCATAAAAGAATAAATAAATAGATGGCAGTAATAAAAGGGACATACAAGAACCCAATGGAGCAAAGTAATATAACAAATTGTCAGTGTCAAATCAGTGAGGTCAGCTTGGGGCATGGCTGAGGGCAGTGATGGTTTTGTTGTGACATCACAAAGTTCAGGAAGTCCTGACGGCTCGTTTTAAGCACAGTTTTAGAATACAGACTGTGTGCATTTCTCTCTCTGACTGAGCGCTTTGATACTTTCACAGTATTAATATAAAACCTACACCTGCTTTATAATCACAAACAACATCTCACAAACATACAAAACAACTACAGTGAGGTGCATGAATGGCATGTGCCAAAAAAGCAGCATTCTGATTATAAAGGTTGTACGAGTAAGAGTTTTATGATGAGTTGATCTAGACTCTAGAGCGCCTTTCCCACATTTACATTAGCCTGAAGGACACCATAGGTTCTCCTACATGCTTGGAAAGAGATGGTGAGGGGAGGGCTTTTCAGTTGGTGAGTAACTGAATACCACTAGATGCCACTAAATCCTACACACTGGTCCTTTGAAGATATTTGTCCATCTAACGGGCCAGTGCCAGCCAATTCTAAATTTAATGTGGAAGAGCCTCAAAATGCAGTTCCTCTCACAGCCACTAGATTGTAGCTACAAGACAACTCAAGACTGCATAGAAATTAGTCAACAAGAAACAAAGACCACAAAAGAAATCTCCTTTTCAACTCAGCAATTTTCCAAAAATTGCTAGTGTCACCTTCGCTTGTGTATTCACTGGAAATGTTTTTAATTAGGTTTTTACTGGTTATCACTTGTCCCAGTAACCGAAACTGAATTGGAAAAATCTGGAAAAATCTAGGCTCAAAAGACCGTCGCCAGTATCACCCATGCGAAATGAGTGTTTACCTCACCAGTCTGTTTTTATTTTTTAAAGCCACCACTGTCTGTGTAGGATTTGCAAAATTTCTTACTTTGGTCTCATCTGCTGGTAAAATTGGACTGTTGTGATCCAAAGCCAGAGAGAATGAATGAGACTAAACAAGACGTGTACAATACCATTATCACAGGAGTGTTCTTCAGCTGTCATATCAAGCCACAATACAAATGGTTTAAATACACCCACACAAGGCTTTAAGGCATATTCCCATTGGAACAAGCCAACTGTCATCTCAGTCTCCCCTCTTTTCTTCCTCCAGTTGTTGCTACTACCTTATCGCATAATATATCCCGTCTCAAAGGAGTGTCTAAATCTACAGTCCAAACTCTGTGACTCTAGTTAGTTGTAGCATTAGCACTGCGAGCGCACGGCTGCCAAAACTGGGACAGACGAGTGAAACCAGGGTGCCCATCTCTGCAACAAGAAATTACTGGAGAAACACTGGTGTGTTCAGTGATCTAGATTCAGAGAGCACGGTACATTACACCCTGCGCTCAGGCTCCCCCCTCTTCCAATCCTCTGCTTTTTCAGCCCACTTCTTTCACTCCTCCCCTCATTCCTCATCTGTGGCCTTCAGTCACATTAACCAAACTGAGCAGAAAAACGGATATTACTGTAAAATCATAAAATGTGCTGTCAGCACAAGTTATAATTAACAATAGAGTTGAAGTGGTCTGAAGATGTGATGGTTAAAATTGGTAATCAGGCTCAGGACGGGGGGGGGGGGTTGCTGGGTATAAATTAATATTATGAGGATAAGTGAAGGAGTAGCAAAACTCTTATAAATAGCTGCCAAAGTGTTTTTGAGAAAGGCTCTTTACATCTTAGTTGCACTGCATGCGTGTCTGCACAAGATGCATTCAGGCATAGTAATGAGTTGTAGGTCATCTGTGTTTCGGAAGCATTCAGAGCCTCACACACAATCACGCACACGAAAACACAGAAAAATAAACTTGACGTGTAAAAATATGCTTCAGGTGAAAGACTGTGGAGGCGTTGGTCGGTGCTGAGGTGCGTTTGATGCACGTAGGGATGTGGATAATGTGAAGTGGATCCACAGGTAAAGGATTTTGAACTTGATCCTGACCTGACCTGTGAAAAACCGACCCATGTGCATGCATTGTTTTTAAAGCACAGCTGGATCTGATCCATACAAACCCAAGGATAATTAGACCCTATCCAAACTGTGGTCGGCCCAAACAGACCCAACAGACACTGACAGCAGCCTGATGCTCCAACAATTAATGAGTAGCACTGTGTAATTTTTCTCTGAAGCTCACAGTTCACACTCTCCATCTGCCTCATTTTTTCGCATGTGATGATTATGTAATCAGAGCTGATACACAGCAGAGTCTGCTCCAGTCCACTCAGGTATTAGATGCATCAACCAGGTGTTCTATAAATTACATTCACATATTCTGAACTTGTTGTCGGGAAACCCTAATCATGGAGTATAATCTTTGGCAACATTGTTTTCTACTGTAGTCTATCATTTATGTACTGTACACAAGTTGTAGGGAGGTGGTGAATTGTTGGTGTACAAAATGCAGGACTTGAACACCAGAGACCAGGTGTCACATCCAATAGAAGCACTTTGGATCACGCTTCTATTAAAACACCGTGCCCTCATCCCTTTGACTAAAAAAAAAACAAAACAAAACAAAACATTACTATTCCCTAACTTTAACAAAGAGCAGTGTGTGCTTTAGTTACTGCAAGTTGATCTTGTAGGAATGTATATTATAACATATAACATATATAACATTTTGTAACTTGGTTTCTTCCAAATATTTATATGTAACTTCGAGGTTGGACATACTGATGCAGAGAATGATCGTAATTTTGGGGCGAGGCTGGTGGACCTGTGAAGAAATATATGGCACAGCAACATTTGTAGAATTTGATCTGATGGAAGTAATCAGGGAGGAAATGGAGATGTTACATTTCCTTAGTCATGACAACCTTGCTCCAAATCTGCCTTTTGCTTCTTCTACTTCTTTTCATCTGAATTTCATAATGTAAGGTAACTCTTTATGTAATCTTTTTCATCTTCTCAGCACTGTTTAGCTGCTCCGAGAGAAGGAGCAGGGTCGGAACAACTATAGTGCAAGAAGCCAAATTCAGTCTATTAATGTCTCTGTCTCATTAGGGGGAAAAAAAAGGATTTTGGGAAACTCCGGTTCCCAAGGTTCTCCCACTGGAATGTCTGCTGTGGGAAAGATTCACAGAGTTGTTTGTGTTTACTAATATTTTGATGGCACTCTCGGAGGAAACTGTTTACACCCTGAAATGAATGTGTTGCTCCTGTAGGTTGATTTATGGAATGCTTCCTGTTTATAAATGTGATATGCAGTCGGTTCTTCCGCCAGAAAATGCAAAGCGATAGAAAAATGTGAAGTAAGAAATCCTGGGACCAAGTATAATTTCTTGTGCCAGGTGTTCCAGCGTCTCCAGTTTTTCTGCACTAAAAGAGCTTTGAATATAAAAGGACAAGGCAAGAACTCATCCAGTCAGCTGCGTTCCTGGGAGGGTTGAAAAAGTCTTGTTGACAAAAAAGAGGTCGGATGAGAGTTACTCAAACAAACAGTTCAGCCATAAGTACACAGACTTCTCAGTATAATGGCGGCACGCAGAAGGCCATTCCTGCGCATCTTGACTCGTCAGACCTTGGAGTACAAACGGATGGACAGGTAAAAACTGTTTCCTGCACCAACACATTTTTGTTCCTCCCTGTTGTTACATGATGGCAGCAGACATGGACAGATTATGAGACAATTGGCCCATGCAGGTGTTAAAGTTGATTAAAAAGTCCACCCAACTCAAGAGCCGTAGATCCAGAGAGAAGTGTTTTGCTCATTTCGTCTCTTTGTAGCGATTGTGCATGTCTTTTTGGTTTTGGTGCGTATATTTTTTGTCTCTTTTTGGTCCGTTTGTGGTCGTTTTGTATCATATTTGTAGTTGTTTTGAGTCTCTTGTGGTCATTTTATGTGTCTGTGGTAGTTTTCGGCCTCTTTGTGGTCACTCAGCATCTTCTTGTGGTCATTTTGAATCTCTCTGTAGCTGCTTTGAGTCTCTTTATGGTGATTTGATTGACTTTGCAACATGAAATGTAAACAGTCACTTCAAACAGATTCTCTGTGCCCAGTGGGCCCGTTCCTTAATCCATCCATGATCCATGATAAGATGAATCTGTGGATCTATCATTGCCGTTGGAACCATTTAAAATTTCGCAGAATCTTCAACACCTGTATCAGCATTTTTATATCTGATACATGTACAAACAAAAGGAGTCATTTCATTATCAGGCCTGTGTTCTACATCCATATGCTTGCTCCAGGGACTACACACATGCACCCACACACAAAGAGGAAAGCAATATCAGCTTTCACTACATCACCGAGGGTATACACTTGTCGTCTCATATACAGTATGCCCGGCATTATTCTCTCCATCTCCCAGAGAAGCTCCACACTGACTGGACATCATCGTGTCGGGTTTCACCGATATGATAACGGAGAAAAGCATGTTGGAGGGGCACACAATAACAAGACGGTGTTTTATTAATAACCGCAACTACTGATGCATAATGATATACCAAAATCAATTAAAGCTAAACTGAAATATTTATTATGATGGGGTTACAGTATACCCAGCCTTAAATGTACCACCTACAGTAGTACCTTCAAATTCAATGACACTGTGCTCAGTTTTCTGGTTGT